ATTTGATACAAAAACGTCATTCTGAGCCAGTTTTAATCCAAGAAATAAGACGTTCGTGGCAACCAACTTCTTAGTTACTTGACTTGACTTTTTGCACTTCTTAGTTACTTGACTTTGCCTGAGATTCCGGTTATTTCGTTTTAAAGTCAGTAAGCGTCAAAATCGTTACTAATACTGAGTGAGCCATCTGAAGGTATAGGCGCCCCTCGTCGCGCCCTTTCCCTAATTTGTGCTAGTAGTAACGTTCTGACAGCCGATGTGGCGTAGTGGCAGTGCGACTGCCTACGACGCAGAAGGTTCCAGATTCACTTCCCGGTGGGCCACTTCACAAAGTTTGTATTTGTCACTTTGTGAATTTGTGCGCTGTTTGGTCTGATTGTCCGAAAGCAAGATGGTTCCGTGTTTTTTGGTGCACGTAAAGCCATGGGTCCCGGTTGCACTTGAAAAGAAGAACAAGAAGTAGTAAGAGAAGAGAATTTGTACTCTGAAGTTGTGAATTCGTTCGACACAAAAAAGGTTTCATTGAAAAAGTGCATTTTTTATGTCATTGTATCAAAACAGCTGAGTATCCTGACTTTTATCCCTAATGATCATTTAACCGTAACTTTGAATATTATGTTTATTTACTCTGACTTAAAAAATATCCAAGATATGAAGGAAATATTGCCAACTAGAATATAAATTGAGAAAATTAGTTCGTAAACAATCCCATCTGTAATCAGCCACAATTTTGCAAATACACCAAAACAACACATATTAATGATCCACCATTACAAACGCCAATCAACACGAGCCACCGGAATCAAAACAACTTGATTGATACAAGCGCATTATAGCAGCAAAACGCGCAATTACAAACACCTATTCGAAATTCATCATACGAAGCCGACAACACAAATGACACCATAGAACGTAGAACCACTTGTTATTCAATAACCACCTTCCCCCACGTATCAATTTATCACGGGTTCAATGAAGGGAAAACTATATTTCATTGCCGTACAACCTGACATTGAATCTATGACGTGCTTGCTCATACCACACTAATTTCTGAACCATATCTTCAACTGAAACAGCTTCGGCATAAAGTTCAAATCATCCTGCAAAGGATTGAGATGTAGCACGTTTTGGGATAGATTTGTAGGTTGCATATTGACGTCATGTAAAAGGGAGTCGGTAGTCGAATGCAAAATGGTTAGGCCATGGATTTGGCATATGTTATAGGGTGGAAACTATTGTTCATACATACGGACGATTTCCATTTTTCTTTCGAAAGGTCAGTTTTCTGCTAGAGGCACATTTTAAGCCTCATTTGTACAGTTGTTCGACTCAGCATGTCAAACCTCAAGAAAAAGGGACTGAAGATGTATGAACGTTCTAACGGTTTTCAAATTGCATGTAGTACTGTAAATATTTGTTACTATGCGTCAGTTCTCGTATAGGTACCAATTGATTATTTATAAACAAATAATTGTGATGCTTAGCTGCTCTGAAATTACACACATTACTAGTGTCATAAAACTTGTTCTGAAATATTTTATTGTCTCCGTATGAACCTGCAGAGAAAATCATCCATGTAGGTGTCAGTGAGGAGTGAGGTATTCACTCCCCACTGACTTACCCTAATTTCCATGAAATCCGCTTGTAATCCACATCCCAATCAGCCGTGTGTCCCGCTAATCTATATGTCTTGGCTGATCCGCAGCGGCAGTATTTCATATCGAAACAGCAAACTAATTGCTGGGGGCTGTGACATTCTCTCTGTCCGTTTCACTATTGTTCCAATTGACAAGTGGGCTGCAATGCATGCGGTTTTGGGGACGTGTTTTGAATAAAGTTTATTGGCAGATTTGGGAACATGTTTCTTGAGGATAGGTACTTTGAGTTCAATCAGAAAGCCTGCTTTGAGAAAGTTAGGAAACTTTTGACAGATTTAAAAAAAAATGTAGGGATAGAAGAAACACTAGCCTAGAAATGAACAAATCTAAGAGAGTAGACAAGTATTTTGAAGACACTTAAGTCGAAATATGTAAATTTTTGATTTCCCTTCCCATGCAAAACGACCACGGAAAGTCAAAAATTTCTGAAGAAAATCCTTTCAGTCCCATTGGGTATCTTGAGAAATATTTTCAGCAAATTCAGAAAACATACGTGTGGCTCGTCATTAAATAGGCCGACTTGAATAATCTCCCCTGTCTCTAAATGCCCTGAACAGAGCAAAAACAGAGCTACGTACAAATACTTGCAAGCCTCCAGCATCGGTTGGACCGTTAGAATGTATTTGCGCAGCGGCGGGAGGTAGACAACAACCGATATGTTTTGTCGCCTCGCAGATCGTGGTCGGCGCTCCCGGACATGCGGACATGGAGGCTCGAAGCTCCTGGCTTGAAGAAGATGGAGGCGGTATCAAGGTGGTACCACCTGCTGATGGAAGGTATACAACAACTGATATGTTTGTCAGAGCTCTGGACTGGATACGCTGCTATGGAAGCTCGGATGCCCTGGCTTGAAGAAGATGGAGGTGGTATCCAATTTCAAGTTATTACAACTTTGGCAGAAGAAAGCCAACAATCGATATGTTTGTCAACTCTCTAAATTAGTCACACGGCTATAGAGAATATAAGCACCTGGGTTTCAAGAAGGTGGAGGTGGTACCAAGGTGGCAGGAAGACAGCAACCAATATGATTTGTCAGCGCCTTAAACTAGATACGCCAGTACAGAGGCTCGAAGCCCGTGGCTTGAAGAAGATGGAGGTGGTATCAAGGTGTTACAGAGGCGGCAGAAAGACAGCAAACAATATGATTTGTCAGCACTCTGGAGATGCTGCTACGAAGGCTTTGGCTTAAAGAAGATGGAGGTGGTACCTAGGTGTTACAGAGGCTGCAGAAAGACAGCAACCGATGTTTGTCAGTGCTCTGGAGTGGACACGCCGCTACGAAGGCTAGATGCCGTTGGCTTAAAGAAGATGGAAGTGGAACCGCAGCGGCGGGAGGTAGACAACAACCGATATGTTTTGTCGCCTCGCAGATCGTGGTCGGCGCTCCCGGACATGCGGACATGGAGGCTCGAAGCTTCTGGCTTCCAGAAACTAGAGGTGGTATCAAAGTGGTACCACCTACTGGTGGAAAGTGGAAAACAACCGATATGTTTTTCAGCGCTCTGAACTGGACACGCCGCTACGGAGGCTAGACGCCATTGGCTTAAAAAAGATGGAGGTGGTACAGCAGCGGTGGGAGGTAGACAACAACCGATATGTTTTGTCGCCTCGCAGACCGTGGTCGGCGCTCCCGGACATGCGGACGTGGAGGCTCGAAGCTCCTGACTTCCAGAAACTAGAGGTGGTAATAAGGAGGTACTACCTGCTGGTGGAATGTAGACAACAACCGATATGTTTGTCAGCGCTCTGGACTGGACACGCCGCTATGGAAGCTCGAAGTCCTTGGCTTGAAGATGATGGAGGTTGCACTGCAGCGGCGGTAAGTAAACAACAATGGATATGTTTTGTCGCCTCGCAGATCGTGGTCAGCGCTCCTGGACACGCGAACATGGAGGCTCGAAGCACCTAGCTTGAAGGAGATGGAGGTGGTACCAAGATTTTAAAGAGACGGCATAAAGACAACAACGAATATGATTTGTCAGTACCCTGAACTGGACACACCACTCCAGAGGCTCGTAGGTCCTGGATTGAAGAAGATTGAGATGGTACCAAGGTGTTACAGAGGCGGCAGAAAGACAGCAACCGATGTTAGTTAGTGCTTCGAACTGGACACGCGGACATAGAGGCTCGAAGTCCCTGGCTTGGAAAAGATGGAGGTGGCATCAAGGTCTAACAGAGGCGGCAGAAAGACAGCAACCGACGACGTTTGTCAGCGCTCTGGACTGGACACGCCGCTACAGAGGCTTGAAGTACCTAGCTTGAAGAAGATGGCGGTGGCACCGCAGCGGCGGGAGTGCGGGAGGTAGACAACAACCGATATGTTTTGTCGCCTAGCAGATCGTGGTCAACGCAACCAGTTACGCGGACACAGAGCAGTTCTGCAGAGCCTAATACGGACAATGCCTATTTTCTGTAAAAAAAAACTGTACTTTTCATGCAACGGAGAGTTTTGATAAAGGACTCGGAAAAGTGAGCGCTGCTTTGTCCTATGAAGAATTTGTGACACTAGCAACGGGTCAGAAATAGTTTTGATCCTAATAATGACTTTAACGGGTCTTATCGCGATAGTTTTTTAGGTAAATAAGCGATTTACCTGGAAACTCGACGTTCCAGGTAAATCGCTTATTTACCTAAAAAACTATCGCGATAAGACCCGTTAAAGTCATTATTATGTGTGAAAGTAATCGCGAGTGCTTTAAAAGTTATAGTTTTGATCCTGTTCAAAAAGACTCGGTTTTGGAGTAATCGCTATTTTACCCTGGTAACTGTAAGTGATTCAAGTTACTACATAGAAGACACCAGGAGATAAGCAATGCCTGCTCCACAATTCCCACATCCCAGCCCCCATCCGTGTGGCTACCCGAAATTTAGATGTCACGACTGCACCGCTTTCCACCTAATGTCCGAACGCAGTAGTTGTTTGTTAGCGGCTGCGTACGGCAAGATTGAAGATAGCAGCCGAATTATACGCTCTTCCATGCACCGTGCGCCATACCTAATGGGTTTTGGTGCGTAAATCTTCGCAACTGGATTCCAAATTTGAATTTCGTGTTAGTTGATTGTGCGAGCGTTACGGCGGTCAGCGGAATAATCTTTGTGATCTTGTGTTTGGATGCGGTCGTTTCTGGAGGTTTATCAGATTCGGAGACAGATTTCAGGAAATACGTTAAAAACCTTTTAAGTATAATAATATGATTTAGCGTGGTGCTGCGATGAGGGAGCGGCATGTTGAAAAGTTGAAGGCTAGTTAAAAAAAAGTGAAAATTAGGGATTGAATACCAAATTTTAAAACACTTCTCGTGTTAGGTAAACAATTTTTGGAAAACTTGCAAAATTTTTTTCCTCCGCAGGCAGGATTTGAACCTGCGACATCTGTACTGCTGACGCCACTACCAACTGGGCTACCGCGGTTCTAATCGAGCCTGCGAATTTAGCAAATATATCTTGTCCACTAACACGTGGATGGGTTCCATCTACCGGGATAGTTTTTGCAACTAATTCCCAGCGACTAATTCATTCTTTGCAGATTGAATGTAGTCAAAGCGACAATGTAGTCAAGTGGACAAGATATACTTGCTAAATTCGCAGGCTCGATTAGAATCGCAGTAGCCCAGTTGGTAGTGGCGTCGGCAGTACAGATGCCGGAGGTAGCAGGTTCAAATCCTGCCTGCGGTGGAAAATTTTGCAATTTGATGTTCTAGCTAGAGATACTAATATCTAATAAGATATCTCTTTTAGATTCTTATTTCATAATCTCTTAAACATTAATCATAATTTCATAGATATAATCGTAAAAGGTTTCGTAAAATTCCTGTAAAAGTGCTCCAGCCAGCTGCCATTTTTCGGAATTCATAAATGCCAAGAAACTAAAACAGTTGCCGTGTAATGCCGGCTTAGAATAGCATCACCCCAATTCTACCTGTGGGTGTCGTAAAAAGCGAAAGGATAATTATTATCCAGGGAATGGGCAGCAGCGTTCCCTGTGAATTAAACATCTTGCACTGCGCTCGCCAATCCGCCTGCCAAGCGTGGTGAGTATGGCAATACCCCCTAATACGGGGGAGGCGCATGTCCAGCAGTGGACTGTTGTGGCTGGGTAAAGGTAGAAACTAAGAACACAACGCTCTTACACACACGAAAACAGCACCGACAACTCAATCTTAGAGACAAAGATCAAGACAATCCTGTAGAAAACCAAATCAATGCTACCGCCTTTTTGATAGTACTCAAGCCAGCTGCCATTTTTCGAAATTCATAAGTTCTTGAAACTGAATACATAACGCTCTTGCACACACGTAAACAGCACCGACAACTCAATCTCAGAGACAAAGAGCAACACAATCTTGTAGACAACCAAATCAATGTACCACCTTATTGATCATGTCACAGGATGTCCCGGGCTGATGATTAATGACGTCACTCTGAATGGATTCCGATTGTCCCAGACTGTCATTAGCTGCCTGGGGAATGCTGCTAATCGCGGCAATCTATTACTGTGACGTACTGTGTACTTTTAATGAAGATGCCGTGATTGATATCGAGGAGCGAATGCGAGTAGGAAATATGACATGTGGTTTGGGGACAAAGATAAGAGTAGATATTCGTTGATAAAATTTTTGTTTAAAAACATCAAATAATGTACGATAAAAGAATTAAATATAGAGTGAAAACTAGTTGCCGATAGCGAAAACTCAGAACAGGCTAGTGATAAGGAACAACTTTCCCCAAGGGACATAGGTCGAAATATGAAAAAGAATTTGGACCTCCCATAAAAAATGCCAATTATGTGATTAGAGTTACTATTGGGACGCCCAAATTTCTTTTTGATATTTTGATTTTGAGCTATGTTCCTTGGGGAAAGTTGTTCCTTATCATCAGCCAGTTCTGAGTTTTTGTTATCGGTCACTATTTCATCCTATATTTAGCCACTGAAAAAAGAACCTTCATGGAACTGTTTCAAAATTTTGCAGTTACATAATATTCTACTATTTCTACCCAAATATTTTTAAGGGTTTCAACTCCCAATCATTGTTATAATTTTGAGAAGTTCTATTAAAATGACGGGAAAGTAAAAGCATTACTTATTGAAGATCCCATATGTGAAGTTGAGTCGATGATTTCTGACAACTTGGTTGCGACATCTTTGCAGCGTGTTGAGTAAGCTTCATATTGATACCATTTGACGGGATCGCGCTTTTCGATGTAGTTATCGTACTACCTATAATCTATATGTCTAGTTTTATACCACATTCGATACCTATTTATCAAGGCATTGTATCCACAACACCAATCCCAGCACCACCAATTTCCTCTTCCAACGAAACAATGGCCCGTCCTCACCTGCTCATACAATCCGATAATAACACAAGATTATTATTAGACATGAATTATGTTCGCAATTAGACGCGACAGAGGGAAATGGCGACGCGGTACACGGAGCAGGACGGACAGAGCCGGTGTAAATCAATCACGGGGACAACCGTGGTTGGACGGTGATACGTGCCTTTTTGAAGGTTTGTGTAAACATAGCTTCATTTTGCCAAAGGTGAGATACTACTAAGGGACTTATCTTGCGGGGCTGATGTGTACTAAGCAGTTTCTTGGGTTTGCAAGGAAGAAGTACAAAAGAGAGCGGTGTAAATCAATCACGAGGACAACCGTGCCTGCGGCGGTGATACGTGCCTTTTTGAAGGTTTGTGTAAACATATAGGTTCGTTTGGGATGGGCAGTTTCTTGGGTTGTTCATATTCATACCTACTATAAACTGCAACTGAACATTGATGAGGAAAAAGTACAAGAGTACGGTCGGTGTAAATTAATAAAGCGAAAGAAGGTTATGGCGATGCGGTACACGGAGCAGGACGGACAGAGCTGGTGTAAATCAATCACGAGGACAACTGTGGCTGGGACGATGATACGTGCCTTTTTAAGGTTGTGTAAACATAGGGCTAGTTTCATCATTTCTTAGGTTGTTCATAGAATGGACTGCAACTGAACATTAGTGTATTGGGCAGTTCTTGGGTCGTTCATAGTATGAACTGCAACTGAAAATTTGTAAGGAAGAAGAAAAAAGAGCCGGTGTAAATCAATCACGGGGACAAACGTGGCTGCGGCGGTGATACGTGCCTTTTTGAAGGTTTGTGTAAACATTAGGTTCATTTTGGCAAAGATGAGGATGAGCAGTTCTTCTTTCCGTGGATCATACGTGCATGGTTTAGGCAAATCTTTATAATTGAAACGTTTCTTGAGTTTTGAAAAGCTTGCAAAACTTGCTTTGGCTGCATCCAGTCTGTAAAGAATGCTGTAAATCACTGGGGATCAGTAGCAAAAACTATCCCAGTAGATGCGGCCCTACTACGTGTTAGTGGTGAAGATACACTTGCAAATTTTGCGGACTTAGAGTGAGTCGCTGTGGCCCGGCTAGTAGAGGCGTCGTCAGTACCGATGACGAAGGTCGCTGGTTCAAATCTAGCTTGAGGTGGATTTTGCAAGTTCTACAAAATTGTATACTTACCTAACACAGGTAGTGTATTCGGGGCATTTAGGGTTTCAGTTTCTTGGGTTGCTCATAGTACAGACTGAGCACAAAATAGAGAGTTTACAGAATTTACCGTATTCAGAATTTTTGCGATCGTCATTTGTTACATATCCAGGGTTGCTACTGTCAAAAATCCCAAATGATAAGAAAATCAAAACTGCAAAATCTGAAGAAACTGAAACAAAAACGTCATATGATTCTGAGCAAATTTTATAAATCGCACTCAACTTTGAGATCACACTTAAGATCGATCTTAAGTTGCTGCTTTAATTAATAGACTGAACTTAAGATCTAACTTAGGAACGTCATCTCAAGTGAGTAACGCCATATTATAATAATAAATCTATCTCAGCACTTAGGTGCGGTCTTGAGATGGAGTTCAAGAGCTGATTTTTTGAGTGCTGTCAAACCTTCACTTGAGATCATGATTTTTGTTGATTTTTGCGCAGTTTCTACGGATTAAAATGGATTTTGAGGATATTGTGTAAGAAATTCACTTTTATCACGTTTAATGAAGATATATTGTTGCCAGATATCCATTGCTTGCCTAAAACTTATGGGACCGTGAAGATTATTTTGTTTGGAATCAGTTGGTTGGTTGAGAGGCTTTCCCATTCAGTTTTCGTGATGTACACACACACAGGCTATGTTTACTGGAAGACAAAGGCGACAACGGATACCCTACATTGTGCCGATACCTATATGGCTTATTTCTCACAAGGATGTTGCTAGCAGACGCGGAACGGAGGCGAAATCGTTGCGTTAAAAAGTCATCGCCCAAACCGAGCTGTGGCAAAAGATTTTTCAGTTCGCCCTGGAAATGTTGCAATGGCCGTTAATGATAGTGATATAGCCTAAGACTATGCACAAAATCCTAGGCATAAAAGCGTCAGAGATACGTCATGCGATTATCCGTCACCGTCACGCATCCTGCCTATGTAACGACGTAATCCGACCCGTCGTTTAGGAGATTAGTAAAGTTTTAGCTAAACGGCCAAAGAAGATTTTGCAATTCGTCCAGGGAAAAAGTTTAAAAATCATCACACCAATCCGACCCGTGGGTTGGGTTGGTATGAATTTACAAAAGATTTTTCAATTGAATGTTGTTGTAGCTTTTAATGATAGTGATATAGCCTAAGACTATGCACAAAATCCTAGGCATAAAAGCATCACAGAGATACGTCGTGCGATTATCCGTCACGCATACTGCCTGTGTAACGATGCGTTAAAAAGTCATCGCCAAATTCGACCCGTGGGTTTCCTGTAAACGACAAGGATTTTTCTATTCGTCCAGATGTTGCTGTAGGTAGCTGTTGATGATAGTGATTAGAACTAAAACTATGCACAAAATCCTAGGCATAAACGCGTCACAAGAATACGTTATGCGATTATAACAGAATCTTTTAAGATATTTCAGGAAACATGCTAGTCGAGCAGCTGACTTTAAGAGTGGTCAATGAATGCATGAATAATTTTCCATGATGCATGAATGAACGATTTTATTCCTATTCATGAATAGGTAGGTAAATGGAGAATCCTGGACCATAAATTTTACGACGAAACTTTGTTTGGGCTCTTAGGTAAACCAACATACTAAAATACCTCACGTCTCCGAGGCTAGGCGCCGAAGGAAGCAAAATTTTTGTTTTTCTGCTTATATTTCGAAAACGATGTGCTGATTAGAACTAAGACTATGCACAAAATCCTAGGCATAAAAGCGTCACAGAGACACGTCATGCGTTTATCCGTCACGCGTCCTGACGGGGGGTATATCTGTCTTGCTAAATGCCAGTTTTGTCTTCGGTTACGTTTTTGGCTGCTGTGTAATGATGCGTTAAAAAGTCATCGCCCAAACCGAGCCGTGGCTTTGATT